CTGGAATGCGGGAAAAGCTTATGAAGGCCACTACAAACTCGAGACGCCCGGTACTTTATTTACAAGAAGTGTTATCGAGAGCAGATTATATCTGCACTAGTTCAAAATTATTACAAACTTCAGGTGCTCGCATTTGGTGATGTCGGGGAGATATATTCCTGCTTTTCCCGAAGGTAATAATCCAAAAAAAACAATGTAACAGACTGGGCCGCGATTTGAAATCAGTTCGCCGGCTCCATTCTCTACGCCAATAAGCGTCCAGCCGAAAACATCGATAACAGGAAAATGCTCCTAAAATATTCACCCATTCATTAAACCTTTTTCAAGTCTAGAGTCAACTGTCGTCTATCCTACATATCCTTCATAATTGCTTCCTCGTCCTCGGTCCATACAACATCTTCCTTTAACAATATTCTACCTAAAGAGGCTCTTGGGCCTTGTGTTGGGTGAAAACTTCGTAAAAAATCTCAGTAAATAGACACTGAATAAAACCACATACAAATGCGCACCCAAACAGATATACAGTAAAACCTCGGATTAACGGACCCGGAACCAATAGGCTACGGATTTAACGGACAAAATCCGCAGAAATGGTAGTGTTCGGCTGGTAGTCAAAACGTCCGTGGGTAGCCATCAATGTCTTAGTTTCAGAATTGGCCGCTGCTGTTTACAGAGATTTGTAGTTCCGGGAATAGCCGATGTATTTTTTGTTTTTGAACGCTCGTCGTATACACACATATATCGGCTTTCAAACATTTTATACTGATTTTAGTATTGTGTTTTTGTCAAGCCCTTCGCCATGGCATCCAAACGTAACGGGGGAAAGAGTAAAGGAAGCGCGTTAATCTATGTATTGGTGACAAATTTGGACATTAATATCTGTCTATATCTCTACGATGAGGTATTATGTTTACTTAAAACTATTCGAATTTTTATCCTCAACTTCGTTGCCCTATTCCCAACGTTTCGGCCGCTGTACACTCTTCAGGTGATTGGAATTTCGAATCGAACCCTTTGTATCATCCAACGGGGTAGACTGTTCTAGTTCCACGTGCCAAACCTCTGTTATTTCCCTTTGACTCTCCAAATTTTTGGTTCACCACTGGATCTAACCAACGTCTTTATCTACTTGGCCATATGACTTTGAGGACATCTATGTATGAATTTTGGGGACTTAAAACCATAATTCCTCAGCAACCATTTTTAACTGTGCTCATATTGCAATTTTTCTGTTATTATTATTATTGCATTTTTTTTTTTATCAAGAACCATGTGTTTTCAATCTAACAAGTAAGACTCTGTTGAGTCACTTTGAACTGATTCAACCGTTCACCTATGTAGAATATGCCGGAATTCTTTCTCGGGACAAATGTAACATCCTTAAATTGTCTTCCACATCATTGGAAACACTATTTGCTGGCCAGGAATTGGTTAATATTCTAAGATTTCTTGCTTTTGGGGACCCCATCTGCACCAAATTCTACACATGAGGATGTTATCGGGCTGCGATAGATGACCTTTCAAAATTTGAAAGGTTGGCAAAAAGTGCAAGCTAACTGCTGTTAAAAATTTATTTCACTGTTCTTTAAACAAAGTGCTAGATTTTTCATTCATTTGGTACTACCAATGAAAGCCTCCAAATAGTGGCCTCATTCGTTTGGCATTGAGGTTAGCGTTTTAATTCGAGGAAGAAAAAGCTTCACATCTATGTCCATACAAAGTTCGGATCTGAAGTTCGAGGAAGTCTAGATTATATTATTTTCGGATTTGCGTATTGCTATTGTATATCGGTATTGATGTTACTGTTCGGATTCGAACAAGAAAACGCTCAATATTTACGTCAATACAAAAGCTCAGTTTTGAAGATGAGTCCAAATTCTAAGAAGTCTAATGAAGGTCTAGGTTATGCTGCGTCCGGATTTGTGGATTGCTATTGCATATCGGTATTGAGGTTTGTGTTCGGATTCAAGAAAGAAAAGGCTTCATATCTAAGTTAATACAAAAGTTCGGATCTGAAGATGAGTCCAAATTCGAGGAAGTCTAATTTGAGAAAGTCTGGATTATGTCATGTTCGCATTCGGGGAGTTCTACTGTACGTTTTACAACTTGTTCAATGCATTGCCCAAGCGCCACCCAAATTAGAGGTTTACAGTGAATGACAAACATAAGAAATGGAGTTTATAAAGATATGTAGAGTAGATAAAGGTTGACATTAGACTTGAAGTGAAAGGTTCTAGTGATAGATATTAACATACGTAGATTCACCAGCCATGTAAAAATGTACACTTCATCGAGAAAATTCAACAATTCTATTGTTAGATTTAATAATAAAAAAAAATCCAACGTTCCCTTTTATTAAAAATATTATTATTAATTTATTTCCTTTGATTTCTGGTGTGTACAAATTTCTTTCCGGCTCCCGCCCAGAGACCTAAGGTTAGAAATGGCAACATGACATTTTCCACTGCAAGTATATATATATATATATATATATATATATATATATATGTATGTATGTATGTATGTATGTATGTATTGCATAGAAAAAGCTCTTCGCAAGGTATGGACTATGCCCGTCAGAACAATTTTTTATTTGTTTAAGGCATGGGCTTCCAGAAGTCCCTTCAATTAGTCTACTAGAATATTTTCCAACCAGTCCGAGGGCTCCAACTACAACAGAGATTTTTGATGTTCGCATGTGCCACATTTTTGAGATTTCGATTTCAAGGTCCTTGTATTTTGATAGCTTTTTGAAGATCTTCAAAGATACATTGCAGTCTGCAGGGATTGCCATATCAATAAGGAGGTAATTTTTTTATTTGCAGTCTCTAAAAATAATGCCTGGGCGATTAGATTTGATTTTTCTGTCTGTGTGTATTGTGTAGTCCCATAAAATTGTAACAGGTCCTATCTCCGTAATCGGGTCTGGGTGGTGTTCATACCAATTTCTTTCAGTCTCCTTCCCGTAGAAGTTGCAGATTTTACAGTGTAGATATTGGCCCACTCTGTCATGCCGGGTTTTATATTCAGTGGGTGCCAATACTGTGGAACCTTATACAAGATTATCAATTATTATTATTATTAGTAGTAGTAGTAGTAGTAGTAGCATTTTAGTTGTACTGCTTTTAGTCGAACTAGCTAAGTAGTTATAAGGCATTTTATTTTGTTTCCGACTTTGCCCGAATTCATAGAATACGCTATTTTTAATTCATAGTATTTGCAGGAATCTTGCACGGAAAAAAAGGATTTATGTAGCAACCTCGTTATGTAAAGTTACATTGATGAAAAAGTCTTTTGTTGCTGAAGCGCCAATAATATTTGCTCGGCATTTCCCGCTTTATTCTTGAAGAAAATGCCAAAATGGTGATGAAGGAATAAACCGTGTTATCTATTGACCTAAGAGGTAGCAACACTGTGGGTTGTAATCTATAAATTATGATGCTTGACTTTTTTGATTTGTATCGGTTTTCACCCTGGTCGGATTGAACCGGCCTCCTTCCGAGCAAGTACAGCATCACGGACCATCGCTGCCCACGCTCGTCGATCCTGAGCCAAGTCACACGAAATGGCGAGCCAATCGCGATTCCATCGTCGAAGACCAACTACTTGTGGACCCGATATTACTGCTAGGTCATCCTTGATTGTGCTAGCCCACGTCCTCAGCTGCCTACCGACACATTTTCGCCAGCCAGAAAGAGAAAGAGGGAGAAGTACATCGCGGATGATCTCTCCCTCCGGGCGTCGAGCTGCGTGTTCGAACCATCGGAGACGACAATGGAGCAGGACAGGTGGAAGAGGACGGAGACTCGGGAGTCAAATAATGGTGCTTAAAAGAATTTATTTCGGAAATAAGTCTCCCCAAGCTATTGCTCTTTTGAATACTGTGGGGGTTGCCTTCAAATACTGCATCTGAACGGACACTTATACATAGAATCAGAATGAGCTAAATTTTCTAGGACACCTAATGAGGAATGAGGAAAGAGTGCTTGGAAAATTTGACACTTACAGGACATATCGAAGTCGATAAAGACAGGGAGAAACAGCTTGCATCTTATCTATCGAACTATGAACCGGTAACAATAGCAATGACACAAACATTGATAAAAAAAAAAACTATAACGTATAGGAAGATATGGAGAGCCATGATCGACTACTCCCTTAAATCACACTGAAGAAGATTGGTTGAATTTCACAGATATAGGTGATAAAATATATCAAAAACTGGTAGCAGTCTTACCTCTTTCTGGATTTTGTTTTTGTTTTTAATCATTTCACACCAAGCAAGGAGATATTGCCACTAAGATGCAAGGGGTTACTGGGAGTAAAAGTGAATGAGAAGACGTTAGTGAATAGAAAGTGAAAATAAAATGATAGATTTCAGGAAGACAGAAGATTGCGATTGACGTTACATTTAATGTTTTGAAGATTGTAATTGACAGGGAAGCAAGAACTCTGAAGGGAATTCCACAGGTGAGAAGCGCGAGAAAAGAAACTATTAGAATAGGACTTACGGTTACATGTGACCTAATTGCCAATCTATTAGGATGTATAAATTCAGGCAGTCGACGCACGAAGGAGGACTGATATTGTATTTAAATTTTTGAAGATCAGAGTTGACCGGGAAGAGAGTACCACAAGCGAGAAGTGCGACGAAAGAAACTTAGTATAGAACTTAGGTTACATGTCGATATTTCAACTATAAAATGATGCAATATTGCCGCCAATCTTGTAATGAGCTTAATTTCATAAATTTTAGTTACTATGGAGCAAAGTTCATTAGAACATTTACCATGAAAGTATTTATAGAAAAGACAGAGGTAAGCTAAACTACGGCGGCGGGAAAGTGACTATAGCCGAGATGCCGGTATCGACTTTAACATTGCAGATTATTCTTTGGATTTTATCCAGAATCTCTAAATATGTAGCAGGATGAACTGGACAGATATGGTAGCAATATTCACAGCATGGGCGTGATGCTAGAGCTGTGAAATCTTGCGTACATTCTGGTAAAGGAAGATAACAACATTGAATTTAAATTTTTGATAGATAGATAGATAGATAGATAGATAGATAGATAGATAGATAGATAGATAGATATGGCAAGAGTGAGATAGGTATATATGTAAAGAGTGAGATATAGAGATATGTAAAGAGTGAGATAGATAGATAGATAGATAGATATAAGCAGACTGTGATAGATAGATAGATAGATAGATAGATAGATAGATAGATAGATAGATAGATAGATAGATGGATATAAGCAGACTGAGATAGATAGATAGATAGATAGATAGATAGATAGATAGATAGATAGATCAGAAGAGGAAAGTGAGAGAGAAGAAGAGATCATTTAAGGTGAATGTTAAAGCATATAAAGAGACGGAGAAAAGATTGTGAGATATGGAGAGACGTTAAAAGCGTAATGAGAGAGAAAGTCTAGATAGAGAGAGAAAGAGAGGGGGAGAGAGCAAGGGAGGATACTTCCAGAATAGATAGAGAGAGAGAGGTCAGGAGAGGATAAAAAAGTTAAAAATAGATGATTGCAGGCAAATGTTAGAGAAGTTAAAAGCGTAGGTAGAAATAAAGACTAGATAGATAGATAGATAGATAGATAGATATGGCAAGAGTGAGATAGGTATGTATGTAAAGAGTGAGATAGATGGTAGAGAGATGGATATGTAAAGACTGAGATAGATAGATAGATAGATAGATAGATAGATATGTAAAAAGTGAGAAAGGTATATATGTAAAGAGTGAGATATAGAGATATGTAAAGAATGAGATAGATGGTAGAGAGATGGATATGTAAAGACTTAGATAGATAGATAGATAGATAGATAGATAGATAGATAGATAGATAGATATGGCAAGAGTGAGATAGATATGTACGTAAAGATTGAGATAGATGGTAGAGAGATAGATATGTAAAGACTGAGATAGATAGATAGATAGATAGATAGATAGATAGATAGATAGATAGATATAAGCAGACTGAGATAGATAGATAGATAGATAGATAGATAGATAGATAGATAGATAGATAGATAGATAGATATGGCAAGAGTCAGATAGGTATGTATGTAAAGAGTGAGATATAGAGATATGTAAAGAGTGAGATAGATGGTAGATAGATAGATAGATAGATAGATAGATATAAGCAGACTGAGATAGATAGATAGATAGATAGATAGATAGATAGATAGATAGATAGATATGACAAGAGTGAGATAGGTATATATGTAAAGAGTGAGATGGTAGAGAGATGGATATGTAAAGACTGAGATAGATAGATAGATAGATAGATAGATAGATAGATAGATATGTAAAAAGTGAGAAAGGGATATATGTAAAGAATTAGATAGATGATAGAGAGATGGATATGTAAAGACTTTTATAGATAGATAGATAGATAGATAGATAGATAGATAGATAGATATGGCAAGAGTGAGATAGGTATGTATGTAAATAGTGAGATAGATGGTAGAGAGATGGATATGTAAAGACTGAGATAGATAGATAGATAGATAGATAGATAGATAGATAGATAGATAGATAGATAGATAGATAGATATGTAAAAAGTGAGAAAGGTATATATGTAAAGAGTGAGATATAGAGATATGTAAAGAATGAGATAGATGGTAGAGAGATGGATATGTAAAGACTTTGATAGATAGATAGATAGATAGATAGATAGATAGATAGATAGATATGGCAAGAGTGAGATAGATATGTACGTAAAGATTGAGATAGATGGTAGAGAGATGGATATGTAAAGACTGAGATAGATAGATAGATAGATATAAGCAGACTGAGATAGATAGATAGATAGATAGATAGATAGATAGATAGATAGATAGATATGGCAAGAGTCAGATAGATATGTATGTAAAGAGTGAGATATAGAGATATGTAAAGAGTGAGATAGATGGTAGATAGATAGATAGATAGATAGATAGATAGATATAAGCAGACTGAGATAGATAGATAGATAGATAGATAGATAGATAGATAGATATGGCAAGAGTGAGATAGGTATATATGTAAAGAGTGAGATGGTAGAGAGATGGATATGTAAAGACTGAGATAGATAGATAGATAGATAGATAGATAGATAGATAGATAGATATGTAAAAAGTGAGAAAGGTATATATGTAAAGAGTGAGATATAGAGATATGTAAAGAATGAGATAGATGATAGAGAGATGGATATGTAAAGACTTTTATAGATAGATAGATAGATAGATAGATAGATAGATAGATAGATGTCCCATGTAACCATAAGTTCTATTCTAAACGTTTCTTTTCCCGCTCTTCTAACCAGTGGAACTCCTTTCCGATTTCTTGCTTCCCTGTCAATTACAATCTTCAACACAGTAAATGTAACGTCTATCACAATCTTCTAGTGATGCTAGAGCTGTGAAATCCCGCATGCATTCAGGTAAGAGAAGATAACGTTTTACATTTCATTAAATTTTTTGAAAACGAAAGAAAAAAAATATTTATTACAGAGATAGGACAATAAATCTTAATGGTTCAAGACTCGAATATTTTATTTTCTGGTTGTTTTTTTTTTACGTGTATCTCTTCGAGTAGGTACAGCTGTATAGTATATCTGACTAAACAATTCTGATTATTAAAGACTTTCTTCTTCTTTTTTTCTTTTTCAAAATGAAGCAAAAGATTATATTCAGTTTTTATTGCAATGCGAACCTTTTTCCCTCACGACACAATTCTGATTGGTGTTATATTTATTTTTGTGCATATCAATCTTGACTGAAAAGCCAGAAGCCGGAATAAATTCCCACAGGTGAGAATTGCTAGAAAATGAAACTATTACGGTTACGGTAACATCTTGCTTATTCAACAGTAAAACAACGAGACCCAACTGCCAGTCAAGTAGTACGCTTAAATCCAGGCAGTCGGTGTAACAAGGACGAATGCTGATTATAAGAATTATTTGTAGAAAGACAGATAGCGACCGCATCACAGCAGTGAGAAACTGAATAGTCGACATGTCAGATCAGGATTGATTCCATTACAAATCCTCCTTTGTGTTTTTGTCGAGTATCAGGAGATATATAGTAGGTGACCGAGACTAGATTTCACGGCAATATCCCATGCACGGACAAATGTTAGATTTATAAATGTGTAAAACGGATTCTGTCGAGAAAAATTGCCTAGTATGACTATTTTTCGAGCAGCAGACCAAGCAGTTGATTCGATATAATCACTCTATATCAGTGGAAAACAGGGGACCAAGAAGGTTGCTCTCCTGGAGGTTAGCATTATTATAGAGATAGAACAATAAAAACCTCAGGATTCAGGACGCGAATATGTTATATTCTGGTTGTTTTTTCTTACGTGTATCTCTTCGAGTTGCTATTATATCAGACTACAAAATTTCGATTATTAAATATTTTCTTTGTTTCAAAATTAAGCGAAAGTTTCTAAAAATTAAATTTAGTTTTTATTGCATCGCGAACCATTCCCCTCACGACCTAATTTCGAGTTGTGACAGAAACTACAGAAGCACGTGGTTGTCATTACTTTGAAAGCAGAGTCAGAGTATATGAGCCTCCTTTCTTTATCGTGAGCTCGTGTTAACACATCTGGCGTTATCCGTGTAATTGCATTTTGAAGACGTTCCTCCGGGTGATTCTTCTCTCGAATCTTATCCCCGATATACAATGGCCTTCAAGTGCCCAGCCGCCATTATTTTACAAGTCTGCCCAGGTTTATTTTGAATCAGATGCTGCAGTATTTATAGTACAGTACATCAAATTTAATAACGACTTTATTTTATTTTGTTTAAATATATCTTTACCCGGCGTACACATCTGAAGACTAAGACTCCATTAGATTATTAATATTATTATTTTATATTGGGATGCAATTAAAGCATTTTCCATTTCTTTTTTACAGGAATTACTTCAAAGGAGATTTTCTATGCTTACCTAAAAACATTCTCTTATCCGCTATATTATTGCTAAAGATATTTTCTAATCCATTGTATTATTGTTATTTAATGATGGGGTGTATTAAGATTATTTTCATATTTTTATATACGTTTTAGGTCATTTCACGAACACATCCAAAGGTTAACTCTGATTACACTATTATTATTATTATTTTTGTTGTTGTTGTTGTTTTTATTTCCTTTGATTTCTGGCGTTTACACATTTATTTCCGGGTCCCGCCCAGGGTCTTAAGGTTAGAAATGACATTTTACACTGGAATTTTTTTTTTTTTTACATACACAAAGCCCTTCGTAAGGTGTGGGCTGTACACATAAGAACATGTTTTTTGCATTTCTTTAAGGCACAGGCTTCCAAGGATCCATTAAATTAGTTTACTCGAATCTTTTCCAACCAATCCGAGGGCTCCAACTACAACGGTGATTGTTGATATTCCCATTATTATTATTATTATTATTATTATTATTATTATTTTTTTTTTTCATATCTGGCGTTTACACATTTCTTTCCGGGTTCCGTCCAGGGACCTAAAGTTAGAAATGGCATCATGACACTTTCCACTGACAAAAAAAAAAAAAAAAATGACATAGATAAAGCCCTTCGTAAAGTGTGGGCTGTACTTGTCAGAACAATTTTTTGTATCTCTTTGAGGCATGGACCTCAAGGAATCCCTTCAATTATTATTATTATTATTATTATTACTTCCTTTGATTTCTGTTGTTTACACATTTCGTTCTTTGTATTTCTTTAAGGCATGGGCTACCAGGAATTCCTCTAGTGAATCAATCTTTTCCAATCCATGCGAGGGCTCCAACTACAAGTTGAATTGTTAATGTCCTCATATGCCACATTTTTGAGATTTCGATTTCAAGGTCCTTGTATTTTGATAGTTTTTTGAAGATCTTTAAAGATACATTGCAGTCTGCAGGGACTGCCACATCAATAAGGAGGCACATTTTGTCTTTGCAGTCTCTAATCACGATATCAGGACGAATAGCTTTGATTATTCTGTCTGTGTGTCTTTTATGATAATTTCATCATTGTTATTATTGTTGTTCTATTTCCTTTTATTTCTATTGTATACACATTTCCTTCCAGGTCCCAACCAGAGACCTAAGTTCATAAATGGCTTCATTACATTTTCACCCATCATTTTTGTAAAAAAAAAACAAAACAAACCCCCTAAGATCACATACATTTTACATAGAATTAAGCTTTTTATAATGTGTGAACTGTATGTGTGGGTACAATTTTTAGTAGTTCTTTAAGGCATTGGTTACTGTCATACCTGAACGTACCTATTCTATTATTAATAGACTCTCCCACACATAATAAGTAGTAGTAGTAGTAGCTGTCACCAGTGGGGCTCAGTGGTGTTGAGCGAGTCAGTCGATGTCGGACATTGAAGTATCAACCATCACAATTAGATTGCTGCGTCATTAACTCTTATTTCAAGTTCCTAACGTTTTGTACGTTGAACCTAATTTAGGACGACATATTGAAATACAAGCCTCCACTGTGAAAACTACTCTACAACAGTTACCATGAAACCCTTAAATGAGTCTATCGGAATCTTTTCCAATCAATTGGAGGGCTTCAACTAGAAATGGAATTATTGATGTCCTCGTGTGGCACATTTTTGAGATTTCCGCTTTAAATTCCAAGTATTTTGATAGTTTTTCTTAAAAAGATCATCAAAGATACATTACAATCTGAAGGAACTGCTACGTCAATAAGAAATCACATTCTTTTTTTGACAGTCTTCGATCACGATGTCTGGGTTAATATTATTATTGTTATTATCATTATTTACTTCCGGGTCACAATCAGTGACCTAAGTTCGGAAATGGCTTCATGATATCTTCCTCTGATCATTTTTGCAAAAAAAAACAAAAAAAACAAAAAACTCTAAGATCGCACAGATTTTACATAAAGCCCTTTGTAAAGTGTGTGCTGTACTTGTGAGTAAATGTTTTATATTCCTTTAAGGCATCCCTTCATTGAGTCTATCTCAACAATTTCCAATCAATCCGAGGGCTCCAACTACAAATGGAATTATTATTATTTTATTTATTTTGATTTCTGGCATGTACTCATTTTTTCCGGGTCCCGACCAGAGACCTAAGGTCAGAGATGGCATCATGACATTTTCCCCTGAGCAGTATTAAAAAGATCACACATATTCTATATAGACAATGCCCTTCGTAAGGTGTTGGCTGTACTCTGGAGAACATTTTTGTATTATTTAGGGTATGGGTTGCCAGTAATCCCTTCAATAAAACTATTGGAATCTTTACCAATCAACTTCTTCTTCTTCTTCTTATTATTATTATTATTATTATTATTATTATTATATTTCCTTTGATTTCTGGTATGTATACATTTCTTTCCGTGTCCCGCCGAGAGACCTAAGGCAATTAAAAAAAAATAAACATATTTTACATAGATAAAAACCCTTCCCACCATACTTCTCCTTATTTGGTAAGTATGATTGGTGGTGTTCTTTGCTGGATTTTCGATTGCGATGAAAAATGATGTCACGACTTGTTGATACTCTTCGTTCGTTTTCTTTTTATTAGTCGATTTGGTATTGAATCACTTGGTCTAAGGTTGGGAATAGTCCGGGTTTGGTGACCTAGTGTCTCTTCGCTTTTGGAAGAGTTTGTTCCAGAGACAGATTTTTCGGTCCCAGACTGGTTCGTCTCTGAGGTACGCGACTCTTGTTGACCCGGGTGACGACCGATCCTATAAGTAATTTTATTCGTAATCATTGACATTGGTAGAATTTTGTGTTTAAACCTTGGCCGCCAAGGGGTAATTATGTTCAAGTTACCAGCTCTAGAACGACACTCGAAGAAGGCCTGAGAGCACGTTCATTTTTATTATTATTATTATTATTATTATTATTATTATTATTTTCGTAGTGGTGTGTATTAGAATTTGTTTTTTTATAGACCTTTACCCCGATTCATGGATTCATCTCATATCGATCTATGACTCAAGTAGATATAATATACATTTTATTATTTTATATTAGGATTGTATCAAAAAAATTTCATTTTTTTTTCTTTTAGACTATTAATTCAAAAACGTATTCCGTGTAACCATCGAATATCTGTCAGTGGCTCACAAATATTTCATCTTTTTCGTCTTCTTTTTCTTCTTCTTCTTCTTCTTCTTCTTCTTCTTATTATTATTATTATTATTATTATTATTATTATTACTGTAGTTGTTGTTTCTGACTGAGAAAGACGCACACCGACAGAGACGCCATCAGTGTCCCCATCATGGCACCCAATCTGAT